GTTGCTATTACGTAGTATAACTTCGTATGAATTTCTTGGCTGGAGATCCGTCAATTTGTAGATTAGATTAAGCACCTCTCTCTTGTGAAGTAACTCACGTTACTAACATTTTGTTTTGCTAACGCAATGTATATTGCTATGGGGATCATTACCCGGAGATGGGAGGAGGTGAGCATCTCTTATTTTGTGAATTTTTTATCAAAGTCTTACATGTCTTTTGTTGAATTTAAGAAGCCTTTTATGGCTTAGAGGCCCTCTAAAGGTGCCACCTAGTAATTATAAAAATAGCACGGTCTAGCCAATTTTCGGACTGGTCATTCAAAAATAGCCAGCGTTTACCAAGTCAATGAAAAATAGCAACTATTTTGCTGCAACAGAGATCGGTCCAGCATAATATACTGGAGTTCGGTGCACCTGTGTATGAACTTCCAGCATATTATGCTGGAACTCCATCACACGGAAAGTTCCAGCATAATATACTAGAGATTCGAGCACTTGTGTATGAACTTCCAGCATATTATACTGGACCGGTATACTTTGCTAAAACTCCAGTATATTATGCTGGAGTTCTAGTATACTTATGCTGGAACTCCATCATATTATGCTGGAGTTCCAGCATACTTATCCTGGAACTCCAGTATAATATGCTGGAGTTCAAGTATACTTATGCTGGAACTCCAACATAATATACTGGCGTATTTTTTGGGTTTTGAACAGTGTTTTCGCTCAGATTTATCTTTACATGAAAAATGGCTAAATTTCGATTACTTTTGAAACTGGGCTATTTTTTAACGACCACTTGTAAATCTGGCTATTTTTGAATTTCTCCCCTAGTAATTCAATTCAAGAGTCACTAATTGAATAGTGGCTGCCACGTTTTGGGCCTTTTAGGCCTTATCCCATAATCATAATTATATACTAATTTTTTTGACTATCTTATTAATGTCCCACTGATCGATAATTATCCAATTATCCACATAATTAAGAATTCTTTCAAATTACTTAAAATGCTACTCACTTTTAACACACTTTATACAACTTGCTATCATGGTCATGTGGTACCTTGTATGGCACTAGTCCATAAATACCGGGTATTTTAGCTCGGATCGTATTCTATCCCAAAATGTCGAACTTCGACAAAATTCATTTTTCTCGATTTGCTTACCCTCTCACCTTCAAGAATTTACTCATCACTTGTTTGAAATAGCATAATACTTATAATCCCAAAATAATCTCATTCACGAACTTACGCCGATTAACTTTCGACAAAACTTTAACGTACCAAAATGCAAAATGTAACATCTCATTTGCGAGCTTTCATCAATTTACTTATGGTGTACTTTCACGTACGAAAATATGGAGTGTAACAATATATACAGTATTACAACATTTTCACCACCATCAAGCTATAATCGGTGGGCAGCCCCTATTGGGCAGTACTACAGTATTTTCGCCACTATCGAGCTATAATCGATGGGCAGGCCCCTATTGGAAAACCTATGATCAGATGGTAAGTTATATATCGAGCCTACTGTGGTCGAGCGCCTATGAGCGAGCCTATAATGGCCGAGATACAGAGCCTAGTATGGTCGAGCGCCTATGAGCAAGCTTACTACGGCAGAGCAGTTATACGTACCGAGCCTTATATGGCCGGACATCTATTTTACTTACTATATTGAGAGAGTTCAGTCAGTGTCAGCAGGTAAGTATATCTTCAGATCATCTTTGACTCTCTGTTACTTTCAATTATTATATTATCTCTTTAGTTTCAGCTTTTAGTTATTCTGTTGCCTTACATACTCGGTACATTATTTCGTACTGACGTTCCTTTTGCCGGGGACTCTGCATTTCATGCCTGCAGGTCTTGATAGACAGCTGGATAGACCTTCCCAGTAGACAAAGTCAAACATCAGCTCGGTTGGTAAGCTCCACTTCCTTGGAGTTACCAAGTCTAGACCTTGGAGTTCATTTTCTTATACAAGTTGATGGGTAGGTCGAGGCCCTGTCCCGACCATGATGCAGTCATCTATAGAGGCTTGTAGACGAGTCCTATATATTTTGTCTATCAGTATATGTTCATGGCGGCCCCATCTGCCTGCACAGTTATATATATATATATGTATGTATGTGTGTGTGTGTGTGTGTGTATATATATATATATATGAGCTTTTAGGTATGTTTACCCCTCAGATGAGAGAGATGATATTTTAAGATGATTCAGAGTATGGCTTCATCGGCCTAAGTTGAGGGTTACCCCTCCAGACTTATGTATTTTGCCCCAAAAAAGCAGGTGTCATGCGGAAACTAGCAAAGCAAACCTTGAATGACGATAAAGCAGATAACAAAAGAGAAATATACTAAAAGAGACACAAACATATACCGTGGTTCGGTCAACTGACCTACATCCACGACGGAGATGAGCAATCCACTAAATAAAAGAGAGTACAAAATATGAGAGAACAACCTCACGAAGAGGCAAACACAAGTGACACACTAACACTTGTCCCGTAAATTTCTCCCCCTAAACACGACTCTCAAACCCTATATGGCTACATTGTGGATGCTACTGAATGAGAAGGGCGGATCCTCAATATATAGAACTCCAAACTTTTTCCTACAAGAAAAGGGACTAGCTAAACATGGAAGAATTATATTTTCCTTCTAGGAAAATAAAAACCCAATTATGGTAAATACGTTGTCCTTTCCTTCATGAAATAGGAAAATCAATTATAGTAAGAAAATCTGGACAAACACCTAACAATTCTCCCCCTTGGCCTGAATTTTCTGAAAAAATAAACTCGATCCACCTTCTTCACATAGCCTTCAACATATCGCATCTCCAAATCTCCGCCACAAAGTTTGTCTCAACATGCGAGCACACCGGTACATCTTATTTTGTGATCTTAGCTTTGAGCAGCCAAGGTACATCTTATTTTGTCATAATCAGAGTGCTATCTGTCTCACCAAGCACTCCACTTTTCATTCTAAGACCAAACATATAAATAGAAAGTATCATTGGATAAGAATCGCCGTGGAAGAGAAATTATTTGAGGTTGAGAAGATACACACTGATGAAAATCCTTCGAATATGCTGACAAAGGCGGTGGTTGTAGATAAACATGAATTTTGCAGAAAATTGGCAGGCATGAAGACTGTCAATAGTTCCTCTACTTGAAGACACATTTGGCCCCTTGGCTGGAGGGGGGGTTTGTTGGTTACATGCCCATGTTGTCCAGCCAAAGGCCCAATGGCCTAATCCTATTCTCTTTTGGTTTCCATTCCTATTCGAAATTGGATTCGGTGTTTATTCCTATTTTGAGTGGGTTTTGGCTTTAAGAGAAAGCACCACTCATGATCTACAAATAGGACAATCTTGGAGAATTATTCCATGCTCATTGGTACAAGTCTTTGAAAGACTTAAGCACATAAGAGTGGTTTTTGAGAGAGCTTTCATCAAGAGAGAAGAGAGAAGAAAAGTACTTGTTTTGCTGCAGATTTTTATTCCGACCAGCCAAATCACGTTTTCTGATTTGTTAACTGTTGGATCGAGGTGATATTTTGGCTAAGTGTTCGTAACATCTTGGTATTTGATTTGAACGGTGAAGATCGAATTTTGAAGCCCGTAGAATCTGATTTCGAGCCTCAAATAGCAGCTTTATTTTTGTGGATTCTCCTCTTTCTTCAATTGATTAGTTGTTGCTCTTGTTGCTATTGTTGCTCCGTGTTTGACACTTGTTGTGTAGCCAATTTGGAGAACTTTTGTAACCCTCTTATTGTTATAGTGGAGCCTTTTGTATCTTTGTAATCGCGTGGTTTTTACCTTCGATTTAAAGGGTTTTCCACATTAAAATTTGGTATTCTTTATCTTCTTTATTTTCGAGTTTGCCTATTCCTGACATAACATCCACGACCAACATGAGGTACAACAGTTACAACTATATATGCCTTTTGAAATAGGCATATACTCGCAACAACTTCCAACCTAGACTGTTCAACCATGTTAGTGTATAAGATTAAATCAGTCGTAAAATACAGTAAGTCAAATTTCCTTTGCTTCTACTTTTTATCTTAAACTTCACTCTCTAAACATAGGGGCAGAAAAAGAAGAGAAGGAGAATCCCCGTGTTATGAAAATTTGACAAACCTTTTTCATGGATAATATTATTGTTGAAGAGAAGAAGATATGGGTGGGAAATAGTGAAAATATCGCATCGAAATTTTATTTGTATTTTAATGTGTTACACTTGTTTTAATCTGTATGGATAATTCACCTTGCTCGACTTTACTGTCTTCGACTCAACTTATTTAGAGATTAATTATATAATGCGTTTTGCTTACTGTTCACAAAGAAAACATGCCGATTAGTTGGATTCATTAAGGATTTGCAAATTAGCATTTATTGGAAGGTCTATTTCAAGGATATGAAAGTAAAAGTCTCCTCAATATAAACATTAATTATTTTCGAGAAATTCAAGGAAGCCTCACTTGTCCAAATATAAGTCGTTGTTTTATTTAACTAATTCATAAATATTTATTTACATTAATATAAACTCGCAAATGTTATCATATAAAATTAGTACATACATAAATACTCTTAAATGTTGTTCTTCATGTATGATGGATGTTGAAGACATAATCAAGTAAATAAAAGTGTGCTCTCTCTAACAATTTAAGTTTTTAAATGAGATGGTTACACACTTCAATATTGTATCAGAGTAGTCAGAGGTCTTGGGTTCGAGTCTCGCCACCACCCAATACCAAAAAGAATTTCTACATCAATCTCTATCGCTCCGCTCATTAACTACGTACGTGTAAGTAACAAGAATTTGATTTCCAGAATTAATCACACGAAGTATGTGACCTATGACGCAAAACAAACTGCCGGCTAATCTCAAAATTTTAAAAACAAGAACAAAATTGCATGGTCGGATCATTTTCTGCATGTCCTATTCAGATGGTTGGCTAAGCAATGAAATCAGCATCTTTTTACAAACATATCTGTCTTCTTTTTCTATATATGTACAGACGTGAAAATCTTCTAGAAAAGTGACAAAAAAAGCATAGAAAACTCAGCCTACTATTCTCTTCTTCGTTGTCTTTATCAACTCTTTCCCTCCTAACAAACCACACAAAATCTCACACACACACACACACACACTCTTACCATGGATACAGAAAATGCCAAGTTGAAGGCTTTTTTGTTTCCTTGGTTGGCCTATGGACACATCTCTCCATTTCTTGAGCTAGCCAAAAAACTTTTAGATAGAGGCTTCTTGATTGAACTTTGTTCTACACCTATTAATCTAAGTTTCATTCAAAAAAGAATCCCACAAAGCTATTCTTCCACAATTCAGCTTGTGGAACTCATATTACCAGAATTTCCTCAACTTCCTCCTCACTATCACACAACCAATGGACTCCCCCTCCATCTCAATTCCACCCTTCACAAAGCTCTCAAGTTGGCCAAACCTAACCTTTTCACCATCCTAAAAACACGAAAACCCGATATAATAATCTATGATGTTATGCAACTATGGACTTTTGGGGTGGCTTCTTCACTCAGCATACCATCAGCTCAATTTTTCACCTCTGGCGCGGCCATGTGTTCCTATTTTGTGCACTTGTACAAGAATCTTGACGTCGGATACCCTTTTCCAGCTCTTCATTTACGCGATTATGAGCTAGAAAGAGCGCGTAAATTGGTCCAGAAAAATGACAAAGAGAATGAAAACAAAGATGATCAACCTGAAGAGGAGATGCCGCCTCAAGATGGGATCATGCTAATAAGTACTAGTAGAGAATTGGAAGGAAAATATATGGATTATTTGGCTGAAATTATTGAGACTAGAATTTTGCCTATAGGTACGCTAGTTCAAGATCCTGTGGCTAGTGGAGATGAAAACATGAACATCATGCAATGGCTAGATAGTAAAAAAGAGTTATCAACTGTGTTTGTCTCTTTTGGGAGTGAGTATTTCTTGACAAAAGAAGAAAGGGAGGAAATAGCTTTAGGTTTAGAGCTTAGCCAAGTGAATTTCATATGGGTTGTTAGGTTTCCAAAAGGTGAAAAACAAAATCTTGAAGAGACTTTGCCACAAGGATTTCTTGAAAGAGTTGGAAATAGAGGGATAATTGTGGAATGGGCTCCACAAGCTAAAATCCTAACTCATTCAAGTATTGGCGGATTTGTGAGTCATTGTGGATGGAATTCTATATCTGAAAGTATAGAATTTGGTGTTCCAATAATAGCTATTCCCATGCAACTTGACCAACCAATGAATGCTAAATTGCTAGTGGAAATTGGAGTTGCTTTAGAGGTTGTGAGGGATGATAATGGATCGCTTCATAGCAAAGAAATAGCAAGTGTTATAAAAGATGTAACAATTGGAGAATCCTCAGAAAATATGAGGAGTAAGGTGAGAAATTTGGGAATGAATTTGAGAACAAAAAGTGTTGAAGATATGGATGCAACTGTAGAGGAGTTAAGACAACTTGTTGGGAAGAGTAAGAGCAAGAATGGTTAATTCTTTCTAATCTAGTTCATTAAACTGTGGCTAAATAAACATTCACAATATATCCTTTAATGAGGTGATTTCTTATAATTATCATTTCGATACAATAATAAATGCATACTTATGTCATGATGAAAGAAATACTTATCTCATAATGTGAGATAAAATTTAGGAATTAACTTGCGGATCTCCTTCATTAGCTTTGAGTTCATTGTTGTTCTTCTGGTTCTCCTTTAAAAGGGATCGTGGGTGTAATAGAGTTGATCCACTTAGGATTACAAATAGTTATATTTTCTTTTCATTCATCAATACTTTGGTGGATGATTAATGGGATTACCTATGACACTTCTTGGCAATTAATGCTGAGAATTCTTCGTACGTAACAGATTGATGAAGAACTATATTTCTACACCTCAAATGCTGACACTGTATGGGTCAAAATCTAATCAAAAGTACCACGCCTGAAATAAGGAAATCAAGAATTAGTATAGGCCTAGGTCGTGCTTAAGAAGCAACATTGGTGATCCGAGCAGCGAATGTCGAGGTCGAGCACTCAGATCGGCCAAAACGGCTAGTTTAGCAATAAGATATTTTAAAGGAATATTCTCTGTATTTGTACAAGGAATGTCCCATATAAGTAGGAATAGAGAGAGAAAGAAGGGGAATCTAATTTTCTATCTTGATAAGCTCTCTCTTGAAAAGTTGACTCTGAAGTAACTACAAACATTATCTTTATACAAGATTCGATTTGTTGTTTTGTCCCAAGCTTTCCCACATCAGATGCGATAAAGTATTTGATATTCCCACATTTGGTTATCTTACATCATTGTCGGAGGGAGAATCATCCACCTCGTTATACATTTGGGTGAACTACTTTATTTACAGTTATTGCCATTTATCATATTTATTGTTTGTCCTTATCCCCTCATTCATTCACAACAACATCATTAAACATCCTTTTGGCTCTTAATAGCTTTAAATGTGATTTCTAGATTATTACTACCTATCAATCATGGATCTAGAATTTATTATATTTAGCTAGAATTTACCTATTATCATTTACTTAATTTGTTTAACAAAAAGGCTTAACACTTTTTGGTCGAACAATTTGGCGCCGTCTGTGGGAATTTTCTAGTTAAAAGTTTTAGTTTTTTCTAGATCTTAAAAAAAATTCACGACACTTTGCACAGTCTCGTATCTCGTTGTTTGCACAGATTTAGCATGGCAAGCAATGGAGAGAAAAAGACAAAGGCGATAGCCGATCTTACTGCCAATCTCCTAAACACCATCAACAGAACTCACGGAGAGGATGAGGAGAACGTGACGCCAATCGCGTCACCTAAGCGAAGTGATTCACCCCCTCTTCATGGCAGCGTCACCGCTTATCATGGAAAGGGAGCCTCTACGTCCACCACGGAAGAAGCACCACCAGCGATAAATAAGCTACTAGAACCATGGCTAACAAATACACTGAACAGTATACTCGACAAACCCGCTCAGAGGGTGAGAAGAGAGAGCGTGTGAGTCGACATCGCCACAACAACCAATGAGCAACACACCCAACCTCCCTCGACAGGTATCACTCACCCTATTAATGATGTAGGTAACGATGCCCTGGCTGCCATCCTTAGAAAAATGGAGGAGATGGAGAACGAGAACAAAGCACTCCGCGATCAAATGAGAGAGCATCAAGAAAGGGTAGATAAGATATCGCCCAAAACTCCTACCAAAGCGGGACACCGGCCGGTTTGTGGAACAACCAAATAGCGACGAGGCCGCACCACATGCTATACCAAAAACTTTCAAAATGCTGCCATATTTGAAAATATATGACGGCACGACAGACCCGGAGGATCATGTGACCCACTATGTCACTACAGTGAAAGGCAACGACCTTGCAAAAGAACAAGTATCATCCATATTACTGGAGAAGTTTGGAGAGACCCTAACCGGTGGGTCCCTGACTTGATACTCGCAGTTACCTGCGCGCTCCATAGAAACGTTCGAATAAATGGCCGACAAGTTCATCACCGCCCATGCCGGGGCCAAGAAAGCGGAGGCAAGGGTGAACGACATATTCGCCATCAAGCAATCACCTGGCGAAGGACTCAAGGACTTCCTCGCCCGGTTCAACCGTGTAAGAATGACCCTTCCGAATGTATCTGAAGGAATGGCGGTGGCCGCTTTCCAGAATGGGCTGAGTAGAAGTGGGTCATGGGCGACCAAAAAGTTTCTAAGCCGACTCATGAAATATCCTCCAACCACTTGGGATGAGATATACAACGCCTATTGTGCCGAGGTAAGAGCCGACGAGGATGATCTCAACGGGCCTACTCAACGCTTGACCTCGGACCAAATGGAGTCTAGGAAAGACCGAAGAAATGACAGCAGAAGAAATCTACCAGGGTCACGACCTAATCGAGAAAGAGGCACTCTCATGCCACCTCCACGTCATGATGAAGGTCCATCCAGGCTGCGAACGGGAACCCACCAAAATGAAATAGGTATGCCCCCTATTATCAGCTCACAATTTTTGTGTTTACCCCTCAGAAATAGTCTACGCATTGGAAAAGCTCATCCCTGAGGTAAAATGGCCACAAAAGATGAAGTTCGACCCAAGCACCAGAAAGTCAAACGCCCTCTACGAATTCCACCAGGAACGGGGTCACAAGACCGAGGACTGCATCGCCCTTAGACGGGAGGTCGTGAACATGCTTCACCAAGGTCACCTAAAAGAGTTAATAAGCGATCGAGGGAGGGCCAACTTCGCCCGAGGGCGAGAACAACATCAGGGGCCGCCCAAACCACCTTCCCCCCGTTCGGACCATTCAAATGATCATCGGAGAAGGCGATGACGCGTCAATCAACAGCGTGAAGTTCACCACCACTAACAAGCTCAAACGGTCAGTCACCCACGAATGGTATGACGAACTCGAAGAAAGTATCATCTTCGATAAGTCGGATACCCACAATTTGGTCTTTCCTCACTATGACGCCCTTGTCATTACTTTACGCATTTTTGATACTGATGTAAGACGTATCATGGTCTATGATAGAAGCGGCGCGTGCATCATCCATCCTCGGGTTCTCACCCAAATGAAGCTCGAGGACAGTATACTGCCACGCTGCATCACGCTAATAGGTTTTAACAATACAGTTGAGCGGACATCTGGAGAAATCACGCTGCCCGCCTTGGCCGGCGGCATCACCTTGGAGACCACGTTCCACATCATGGATCAGGACACGGCGTACAACGCCATCATAGGCCGACCATGGATACACGCCATGAAAGCCGTCCCCTCCAGTTTGTACCAAGTCATTAAATTTACCACCCCCTAAGGAGTATTCTGCTTACGGGGAGAGCAACGCACGGCCCGAGAATGCTACCGCATCACCCAAGACTACACATACACCCAACAGTTGAAAGGAAAAGCCGAGGAAGCATAGCAATTAACGAAGTCGGGATCGGATGGCGAGGAAAAGAAAGACGTCATCAGCGACCCTGAAATCATAGAAGCCACGGGGTTAACCGTAGAGGACCTCGATCCCGTCCAACTAGATGACGACGACCATAGAAAGAAAGCTTTCATCAGCCATAAACTCCAAGATCCAACTAAATTTCATCAATTGTTAAAAAATAACGTAAACCTATTTGCTTTTCCCCATGCAGACATGCCAGGTATCCCAAAGGAGATAGCAACTCACAAGTTGAACGACGACCCATTTTACCCCTCAGTAAGGCAAATCAGACGAAAGTTCAACTCCGCAATAAGCGACGCGGTTCGTGAAGAGTTCGAGAAATTGTTAGTGAACGGTTCTATCAGAGAATCCAAGTACCCTCAGCGGGTCACCAATGTTGTCATGGTGAAAAAGAAGAATGGTAAGTGGAGAATGTGCGTGGACTTCAGAGATCTAAACAAAGCCTGCCCAAAAGACTCGTTCCCGCTACCCCACATCGATCAACTCATCGACGCCTTAGCCGGGCACGAACTGGTGAGCTTCTTGGACGCCTACTCGGGCTACAACTTAATCCTCATGGAAGAGGAGGACCAGGAAACAACCACCTTCATCACCCATCAGGGAACGAACTGCTACAGAGTGATGCCATTCGGGTTAAAAAATGTGGGGGCAACGTACCAGAGGCTGGTGACCAAAATGTTCAAAGATCAACTCGGCAAGACCATGGAAGTATATATAGACGACATGTTGGTCAAGTCAAAGAAAAAGGAGGACCATATCGACCACCTGAGGGAAGCCTTCGACATACTCACAAGGTACGGCATGAAATTAAACCCCGAAAAATGTGCTTTCGGCGATATATCTGGAAAATTTCTCGGCTTCTTGGTATCACAACGAGGCATCGAAGTCAATCCCGACCAAATCAAGGCCATAGAAGGAATCCCAGAAAATCAAACCAGCAAGAAGCAAGTGCAAAAGCTGACCGACGGGATAGCCGCCCTGTCGAAATTCATCTCGCGGTCCTCCGACAGATGCCACAAATTTTTTGGCGTTGTCAAAAAGGATAACGGGCTCCAATGGAATTCCGAATGCATCATCGCCATAAAAGAACTAAAGGCCTAATTTTCTTCACCACCGTTGCTCGCTAAGGCAGAACCCGGAGAGCGCCTCCTCGTCTACCTAGCCGTGTCCGACGTTGCAGTAAGTTCTGTCCTGGTACGAGAAAATAAAGGTACGCAATCTCCGATCTATTATATTAGCAAAACTTTGGTCGACGCTGAAACGCGGTACCCCCACCTTGAGAAGTTGGTTCTGGCCCTAGTCGTAGCATCATGGAAGCTTAGACCTTATTTCCAATGCCACCCCATCTCGGTGGTCACGACTTTTCCTTTAAGGAGTATCTTGCACAAACCCGAATTATCGGGTAGATTGGCCAAATGGGCCATAGAGCTGAGCGAGCACGATATAACCTATCAACCGCGAACAGTGATAAAGCCGCAAGTTCTTTCCGACTTCGTCACCGACTTTAGTGCAAAGATAATATCCGAAGTCGAAAGGGAAATCGCCACTACTTCCGCCAAAGTACACGACCAATGGGTTTTGTACACCGATGGCGCTTCTAACACATTAGGATCTGGACTGGGACTCGTGCTCGAGATCCCAACAGGCGA